TGGTGGTGACCGTAGATGGAGCCTGCCATGAAGCCGCCTGGACTGGGATTTTGCTTAGTAGTCACCAGGCCCTCCTCTTCGTCCCCCAGGATCCCACAGTCGGCCACAGTAGAGAATAGAAAGTGGGTTTTCCTCTGAATTGGAGGTTTCTGGGGACATCGACCGCTGGGAAGAAGGAAGAGTGGTGTTCTGGCCACACAGCGTCCTTACCCTAACCTTGCAGTCTTCTCTTCCGGAGAAGTCCTCCTCAGAGATGCCTGGCATGGGGCGCAGGGCCCTGGATCTGTGGAAGGATGGAGCCGCATGCCGGGCAGGAGTAAAGTGAGAATACTGCCCCAGCCCCTCAGCTACCTCGCTGGGAGCCCTGGGCTAGGTGTGTCGGCATCGTCTCGCCCATCCCACCTCTCCCCGTGGACCGCACCGGTGCCCCGGTCACACGGGCCACTCTTCCTTCCAGCCTGGGCTCAGCGTCCTCCATGAGCACTTCCCCACCACTCACCCTTCCCATCCAAACCCTCGACCCCACGGGGTGGGCACTCCCGTTCTCGTGCCCTGGGAGCTCCCGTGGCCTTTAACAGGGCTCTTCCAAGCCAGGTGGCCTATCAGCATCATCGGCATCACCTGGGAATTTGCCAGAAACACAAGTTCTCAGCCCTTGGAATCAGGGACTCGGGGTAGCGGCAGCACCCTGGTTTCACAAGCGCTCCAGGTGATTCCGAAGCCCTCAAGTGGGAGAACCATGGGCACATGGTGACTCAGCCTGTGAAACCGTTTCTGGGCTGTTAGCAGCGACCAAAGGCAGCTGGGAAAGGCGGACGTAAAGAAGGGCTCTCCCTGCCCCTCTGTGCTTTGGCATAGACCAGGGGAGAATCCTACAAAGACAGGGACGTTGAGCCTGAGAAGAGCCGTGGGAGCTCGGGACCACAGAGGGGCCATCCAAGACTTCCCAGCATATGGATTTGGGAGCTGAGGTTAAGGCAGGAGAAAGGGTTTGTGGATAGCAAGAGTGGAATCAGCAGGCAAGCTTCCTGAACCCCAGGTGAGCGATCCATTCTTTTCCCCCAATTGAAGTATCTTAAAAAAAAAAAAAAAAAGCGAAGGCATTTATACCTAATGTGTGCACCCGTTACAAGAACACGGCCCTGAGGAATACATCGTTATCATAAACATGTGAAGAAAGCTCTGGAGGGGAGTCTGAAGGTAGGGGTGATGTCTCATCTGTGCTGTGCAGGCCAGGACCTGCCTGTCTGTGTTGGGGGTTGGTGAGGAAGGTCATTCGCCTTGTACCATCGCTGTTTTTCACCACATCAACCCAGTGGCCTCTCCAAATGAGACCGAAGGCAGGGGCAGTGGCCCTTAACCTAACTTTTTGGTGTCTTCCAGAACCCAGGGCTGTCTGTGCTAACAGCTATATGCACGGGAGGCCGGTCTCCCCCAACCGTTGGTGGGGACCAGGACAAGAGTACCAAGGGAGGCTCACCTCTCATTGTGGCTACAAATTTATAAGTTGCAAATCAAGCTAAAGAACTTAAAGAAAAAGTCCTTTGACTTTGGCCAATGAACCTTTATAAAGACGTGGTGGACTGAGAGAGGAGACGCAGAGGGAAGAGCGCCCCATCCCATAGCTTCCCTGCTTCTCCTCCCAACCAGCTCCAGCCCATGCTTTGAGGGCCTCATGCACAGGCCAGTGGACCCTGCGGCCTGTTCGTCAAGCTCATTCTACGCCTCCTGCGGATGGAACCACCTGACCACCCTTTGGAGGCAGGGCCTGAAAATGTCCTGAAACTGGAGGCTGGCTCAGGGCTCTTTGGAACGCGAATTCCAGAAGCATGGTCTAAATGCTGGGTCATGGGCTGGGCGAACACAGCCCCTTCCCCTGTGAGTCCTCCTGCGCGGGTGGGGTGTGGTCAGAGGAGGGCTCTAGCAGAGGCCTCGGAAGGCTTGTTTCTCAAGTGTGGTTCCCCTGACCCGCTGTGTAGGCCCCACCTGAGTGCCAGGTAGAACCGTCGCCTCACTCCACACCTGTGAATCACGATCTGTTTCTAACCAAATCCCTAGAAGCACAGGCACATCCCCATTTAAAAAGCAGTGCTCTAGGGGGCGCCTGGGTGGCTCAGTGGGTTAAAGCCTCTGCCTTCAGCTCAGGTCATGATCCCAGGGTCCTGGGATCGAGCCCCCCATCAGGAGGGAGCAGGGAGCCTTCTTCCTTCTCTGACTGCCTCTCTGCCTACTTGTAATCTCTGTCAAATAAATAAAATCTTAATAAATAAAAAGCAGTGCTCTAAAGCACAAAGCCCAGGGGGCAGAGTCCCTCTAGGGGGTCCTAACAGTAGGTACTAATAAGGAAGTGCTTAACAAATGCCAGCTATCACCTAAAGCAGGCCTGGTAGTTACCACGTGGGGCTGCCGACTGGTTCACTATGATTTCATTCTCTCTTTCTGTGGGGCCTCTGTGGCCTGAATCTGAGGACGGCCAGGTGGTTGCCTAAGCTAAGTGGTCCAGTAGAAGACACCTGACCCACATTGGGCCATCAGGTGATTCTCCCAGGAAACCCCCAGACAAGCTCTTAGGAGTCCTAATACTAGCAAGTTACAGCAAACGTCTTTCCTGCATGTGGGGTTGCCAAGTGCGCTGTGGAGTGTCTTACAGTAGAATCCGACCTGCGCACCCATCTCACCAGCTTCTGTTTCACATGTGGAGATGGGACTCAGATGCTTGCTGGCTCTCCCAAAACTTCTAGCCAGGAGTGGCAGCCCAGGGAGAGCCATATGGCCAGGAGACAACGTGGACAGTTTCTGAGGGCCAGGTCCTGGCCCAGCTTGCTGAGATAAGGCGGACCTCCCAGTTACAAGGTCGAGGATAGTGGGAGTGAGACCCAGCGCTGTGTAAGTGCTGCAAGAATGGAGGGAGGCCTAGAACAGTAGAGGAGCCAGGGAGAGTGGAGCACAGGGAACCTCCACCTCCCCACCCAGAGCAAGGTACATGAACCAAGACCAGCTCCCCACTGCTGCACACCTCTGGACAGGGCAGAGGGATGGCCCCTTCCCTCCTCCAGTGAGTCAGCTGGGAGCCAGTTCTAAATGGAGTAGGGAGTTGGGGGCCTCAGTGGCCTGAGGCCTGGGCTGGTCCCCAACTGTGGCTCTCAGGGAATGGGGCTCTGAGTGGGAACTGCCATTCTGGGCTGGGGAGGGTGCGGGGCAGGTAGGCTTCTGGCCACCTGAGAAGACAGGTCAATGAGCAGCAGAAGTTTCTGATTCCAGGCCTCAACAAGTACTGGTTGTTTCGCTTTATTAAAAAAACAAAGCAACATTTTTCTTAGCACTGACACAAAGGTGGCCCCGTGTTGCTGTCACCTAAAAACCCAACATCACCTAGCATTCACACAGGTCACACTTTCCATGGCTTATAGTTCTGGTGTCACCCCAGTGCAGCATAGCCAAGCAAATACTGTTACTGCACTTAACAAAAAAAGAAAAAAAATCAAACGATCATCAGGTCGGAGAATCACTCAGTGCCTCAGGGGAGAGGGTACAAAGCTTGGCGGTGTCCTCGCCGGTTGCTTCCCCAGCACGGTGACTAGGACACCTTGGGATGGCAGGACTGTGGCCAGGATACTACCAGGGGCCTCCTTGGTGGCTGGGAGATGGAAGGGATCCGCCCCCACGGCTGGGGGCGGAGCACCAGGAACCAGCCTGTCATCGACGTCCCCAAGGCCCCCGCAGATCCAGCCGCAAATAGCTCCAGACCCACGCGGCTCCCAGTCTTGAGAGGGTGGCTTGCTCGTTTCTCCTTTTTCTTTCCTCAGGGAGCAAAATTCAGAGGAAGAGCTGGCAGTTCTGGAAACTTTTCTGGCTCCCCTGACAACCATGGCAAAAATGGAGTAGAGAAGACCCTCTGAGGCTCGGGAGAGGAGACAGAAGAACCCTTGCCCTGTCCTGAGCTGGAGCAGGCTAAGACCACCTCCTGCTCACCCCTGAGGAGGTGGGGCTCCCTCCCGGCGCCTAACCTGGGCCTGGCACAGCCCGTTCCTGCCTCCTCAGAGAGCTTGGGTGGGCTTGGGTGTCCTCAGAGGCCTGGGCCGCCTGCTGCTCCCGGCCTGGAGTTCTCTGGGCAGTCCTCAAGGCTGAACACTTCAGCCTAGAGACCACTGCTCTGCTAGATGTCTGGGGGCAGCCGTGGGTGTCACATGGGAGTAGGAGGACAGAACACTCTTGAGATGGAAACTCGGGGGAGCTCTGAGGACATGAGGAAAGTCTGAGGAGCCATTTCCTGGGTCTGAGGCACCCTTATGGATTTCACCCTGTGCTCCTGGGCTCCGGCCTCCCTTCCCTCCCAGCCCAGCCCCATCAGGTGTCCAGGGGTCTGGGCCAGGCCAAGCCACAGAAAACAAAGGGCTGTCTGTGCCCAGCAGCTTCACCTCCTGGGCAGGCCTGGTGGAGCCTGATCCGGCGGATGCCTCCAGGGACAGACCCAGAGGCCTGAGGAGGGAGGCTGTGAGCGGCAGTTAGAGCCCAGACAGAGCGGGGCTCGCAGAGGTACTCGGGGCCTGTGCACTGCCTGCAAGGCGAGTGGGAGCCCCCCCCAGCTCGGCAGGGCCGGCCTGGCAGAGGGGGCCGTGTGGGAAGCCCGGCTCAGCCTGTTTCCTTGGTAACTGGCCTTTTCCAATCCGCAGCCTGGTGAGGCGGGGTGGTGGGAGCCCGCCAGCCCGTGGGTGCGGCGTGACTGGGAGGCCGGCCAGCGGGCGCCTCAGGTAGCCGCGGGCCAGGTGGTGCCGGGGAGGCGGGGGCTGCTTCACGCGGGAGCCCTGCTCGCGTCCAACTCGGCTGCAGGCGGGGGCCCCTTCCTTTCACATTCGCTTTTATTCCGGTTTGAAGCAATCACAGCAGCTTCTCCCGGTGCCGGCATCGCAGCTCCGGGGAGCTCCAGGGTTTCTCACCCGTCCTCTTCCATCCCCCGCGGCACCCGGAACAGGGAGAACAGCTTATTTATAGACATTTCAGAGTAGGTTTCCATTCCAAGGGAGGGCCGGGCTTGCCCGGGGCTGCTTCAGAGGGTGGGTTGCAGGAGGCCGGCAGGGAGGCCCAGCAGGAGCAGCGACAGCAGCAGCAGGGACAGCCCGGGGGCCAGGGCCGCTGCGAGAGCAAACACACGGGGTCAGGGCCTCCGAGGGCGCCTGGAACAGCATTTGCAGGCAGCTGGCACTGGCGCTCCCATCGTGACCCAGGGGGTGTTTCTGTGCCTTCGACTCACCCAGGCTCCCCTTTTCTGCCCTATTGCAGTTTTTCTTTATATATTCATTCCTTTCAAAATGAGACCTCATTGTAAGTATGGGGCTGCCTCAGTCCTCTCTGCACCATTCCTTGTAGCCTTCCTTTCCTTTACCCAGGTCCCTCTGAGTTACACGGGCACTACTTCTGCTCTATCTGCGGCTCTCCAGCTCAGACCACCCTCCCACCACGCCCACCTCACCTTGATCTTCTGGAGCCACCCAGGGCATCCATGAATTCACTCAAGGATTGGGGGTGCAAGGCCATGAGGGATGCTGGGTAGGGGAGGGGCATGTGGCGGGAACACCTGCTCTTCCTCTGGAAAGGCGTAACCGGCCTGCCCTCCAGGCCAGGCCCTACCTGCGCCTGAGCACTGCTGGGACAGCATGCCTTCCAGAGCCGCCACGTAGGCAGGGCCCAGCCAGTCCCGGTAGGTGGTTTTCTCCCCAACAGGCACTGCCCGGATCGTGGCATCCTTGAAAAGCAGGTCTTGGCCATGATAGTTGGAGGAGTCGAACATTTTGAAGCCATTCTTATTGTGGTCATCTCCAAACAGGTCCTGAAAGCACCACAGGCAGACCCGCCTTTCATCTGGGCTTGCCCACTGCTACTCGGGGGCCGCTTGCTGTTCACGGCTCTGACACCGTGAACCAATGAGGACCTTCAGGGCACTGAGGCTGACCTGACAGCGTAAGCCCAACCACTCACTGAGCTGTCCTCAAAGGGGATCTGAGTAGATCTACGACAGCAGCTACCCCAGTAAGAAGGTTCAAAGTGGGCACCCATCTTTCAGTGGGGGGGGGGCTCATGGATGCTCGAGATTCTGAGGACAGGACAGCCTCTCTCCAGGAAAATGTGCATTGCCACGGGGTTCTTCCCCACATCACATCCAAGGGGAGAAGGGGAGAGAGGAGGGGAGGTGGGAGACAGGTGGGGAGGTGGGAGGTGGAAGTGGAAGTGGGGGGTGGCTGGGAACGAAGGGCCCTGTTGTCAGACTGTCTGGGTTCCTTCCAGATGTATATGAACGTCCAGCCAACAGGATTTGCAGAGGGACTAGATGTAGAATGCTAGAGAAAGACAGGCGTTCAAGAGGACTCCTGAGGAAATGGGAAGTCTGGAGGTGCCACTCAGAGCAGCTGGGCAGGCCAGCTACAGGCTTGTTTGGGCCGAGGAGCCTGTTAGAAATCCTAGTAGAAAGTCAAGCAGACAGTTGGTTCAAGATGGAAGGGTGGGATGAAGGCAGGGCGGAGGCTGTGTTTGGAAGCTGTCCATATACAGATGGCTTTTAACAACATGGGGCTGGGGGTTGTCAACAGGAGAGCAGGCGCAGGTGAAGGGTTTGGAGTGGAGCCCTGGGACACTCCGTGGTTACAAGCCAGGAAATGAGAAGCGGCTACCAAGCCTGAGAGGAGAGCCAAGCGGGTGTGGCCCCAGAGCCAAGGGGACAAGTTCCTCCAGCAGGTGGGAGCTGTGGTCAGTGCTGCTGAAGGGTCAGGGAGATGTGGGCTCAGAAACAGCCACTGGACTTAGCACCACACACCCCCATGATCTTGCTCAGGACAGGTCCGGCTGAGAAGGAAACATTAATAAAGCAGGACACAGAAGGGATAGTAAAGGAATGGCCTGATTAAGTGAGAATCTCTTAATCTGAACTTGCCCGCAGCTTTGCTCTGGGTATGCTGAGGCACTGAGGGACCCAGCTCAACTCATCACCCACCCCCCCCAGGGATGAAACCCTGCCCTGGCTCACCTGGGCCTTGTCCAGCAGTCCATACACGGTGAAGATGTTGGTGTCCGGCCGGACCATAACGGCGTGGGATGGCATCTGTGCCAGATTGCAGGCTGCAAACTGGGACATCTCAGCCCGGGCCCCATTGGGACACAGCAGCTCATAGTCCTCTGACCTTAGCTGGGCAGCCCAGGGCTCAGAATTATGGCCTGAAGGGAGGGAGCAGAGGGACAGAGGAAGAGAGAGGTTGCTCTCCTCCTGGATCCCCAAATCCTTGGCCACGTCTGGCCAGCTTCCCAACTCCATTCCCCAACTGCTCTGCTCCTCTGCCAGGACCTGGGATCCCAGAGGGGCTGCTAACACTGGTCGGAACCACTGCAGGTAGAGCACCTAAAATGACGCAGGCATTTTACAAGCACCGGCTCTAGCCTGAAGACAGTAACACCAAGGGAGTGTGACCACCCCCCATTTCACAGGTGGAAAAACTAAGACTCTTAATCAGTCCCAGGCAAAGAGCCCCATCTGGGTGTTCCATGTCTTGGGCCTGGTACGGCTCGGGTGGGGCCCACAAAACTGTTTTAAACCAGCAACCCATTGAGGCTGAAGCAGGGGGTCACAAGGGCTTCCTGAGAAACACTGCTCTTGGGAATCACGTTAGTTTTCTGTCTTCAGGTACTGACTCAATAGCCACCCTCTTCCCATTTCCAGAAGAATTCCACGTGGGCCCTCAAGTAGAGATAAAAATAAAGGGAAAGGAGTGGCCTTGGGAGGTGGGGGCCTCCCTGCAGGTGAATCTTTAAAGGGCCCCTCCCAAGCCTATCACAGGACTGCAGAGGGCTACGGCCAGACAGGGCTCATTGGCTCCTGAGGGAGCCCACAGCTCCCTCCTCCTGAAGATCATCCCAACTGTCCTCAATGGGAGCTGGGCATGGGTGAGGGGTGGTGGCAACAGGGCCTGGGAGCCCTCTCAGCCTAGGTGACCTTCACAGGTAGGGTGGGATCCAAGTTTTGAAATCCTAATGTTTTTTCCTTGCGTGTCTTGCTTCTTCTCCACCAGTCTCCTCTTCCCCTTCGGACCACATTATGCCTTTCTGCACGGAGTTTTTGGAAAGAATTTCTCAGTGAGGAAGACTGAGCCTCCAGCATTTGGGGTTCCAAAGCCTGCATGGAGGCACTGTACGGAGAAAGACCAGCAAGTGCTGGAGGCAAGGTGGAACAGGAGCAGGGAGGGAAGTGAGGCACGCTTAGAGGGCCCCGCACCCTGACAGGACCCAGGTGTGGGCTCGGGGGGGGGCCTGGAGCATACAGTTTCAGGGTGCTTTTTCCCAGGTAGGGCCCAGGAAGATGACTGCAGAGAAAAAGCCACCCATGTGATGGGAATGGGGGCACGCCCTGCCTGGCATGGCCTACTGGGGGCAGTGATTTCCCTGCATGAGGAACTGACCTGTTCAGGACTGAAGCCCGGATGCTGATGTGGGCTGAGGACCCCGCCACTCCCACCACACACCTTGGTGCTCCATCAATGCCCCCGAAGGAATCTCTCCCCATTGACAGAGGTGGAGTTTCTGCCGTCTTGGTGGAATGGAGATTTGGTTTCTAGACTGGTCAAGACTGTCATGTGTCCTACAGACCTGGACATGTGGCCCGAGGTCTGTTCTGAGAGGACCTTGGAGTCCCTGGGATCCCCCATGGGCAGAGCCTTTTAGCCTCTGTCTTCCCCAGCTGCTGTTCCACCCCAATCCTAGCAGGACCCGGGGCCTGAACCATGCTGTAGATGGGGAACAGCTCTTGGAGGATCCAGCTCTCTCTGGCCCCAGCCTCTCCACCTCTGCCCAGTCACATACCATTTGTGTTCTCGAAGACAGTCGTGTGCTTGACGAAGGCGACGTCCCCTGCATTCTCAGCTAGGCACCTGCCATGGGAGAGGCCAAGGCCAGTGTTGGCAGGAGGGCCTGGCCTCTGCAGTGGCCCTAGGCATCCCCTACCCCAAGGTGGCCATGGTACCTGAAGGCGCCGCTGTAGCCGTAGTACCTCTCCTGGCTGTTGCCCACGCACTTGTTTCGGCCCTGCTCATCCCCCACACAGAGCGCGCACAGTGGGGATGGGTAATTCTTGGCATTGTTCACAGGCACACAGCTTGCGCTGAAGAACTCGCTTACAGCTGGGGCGGGGGTCAGGGGGAGGGCTGAGTCGAGGGGCCATCAGAGGGAAGGGCAGCAGGGATGGGAGGGCCTCCCCCACCCCCAGGTCTGCCCACTCTGCCTGGCCTTGTGTCTCCAGGGCATCCATCAGCTCCACTGCCCACCCCAGCTCAGAGGGGCCCATCTCCTCCTGTGAGCGCTGCAGGGATCAGGGAACTACAGTGGCTGTCCAGATACAGGAACCCCACGCACCACTTCTGGGTTAGCAGTCACCTAGACTTCCCTTGGACTCTCTCAGGGATGGGGAACTCACTACCTCATAAGCTCTTCTGTTCCAGTCAGGGCAACTGCCCAGCTGTAGAGGAGTGGGAGCGGCCAACCCTAACACTCCATGTATGCTTGTGGAGGTGGATTAAGAAAAAATGTGGTTTTTTTCCTGAGGTGCCAGACAGGACAGAGGTGTGTGCACAGTCAGCCCAGGATCTTGCCAGCTTCCTACTGCCTTCCTTTCCCCATGACTGTATGTGATTTAACACATGGTGGGGGGGCTGGTTATGGCATATGGTAGCTGCTTGGTAAATGTGTCTTCTTCAGCACTTACACAGATGGCTGGCCACTTTCCATAAAGGTCCCCAAGACGCCCAGTGGCTGCCAGGATATGGGGACAGCCCCATGACTGGACAGTGACCCAGCCAGGCCCAGAGCCCAGGCACGCCACCTGTTCCTCATGCCTGCTCGAGCCAGTCCCCCTCTGGGTAAGTGGCAGGGGGCACCATGGCACCCCGCACAGAACCAAACAGACCCCCGCAGATGGTTACGAATGTGGCCAACAATATTTTCCAACCTTCCCAAGAGAACGGGGCACATCAAGGATGAAGAGAAAATCTCTCTGGGCGGCTCTGTGGGCTCCTGCTGGGAGACAGCTCCCGGGCCCTCAGACACCCACACCCTACCCCCACCAAGGAGTTCGCACATGTGCATCCCTGCAGAGGGCAGTACCTGTGAGGACGTCACAGTTCTTGGGCCGGATGAAGCCCCTCTGCACCAGGGCACCCACGGGGATGTCCCAGCCCGCGGGGCTGTGGAACCCAGAGTGGCAGGATCGTTTGCCTCGGAGCTCGTCCAGGGTGAAGGCGTAGGAGCTGTTCCGCTTTACCACAGCCACCACGAAGTAGGAGTTGCTACTGTCCTCCGCTGTGGGGAGGGGACGCCAGTGAGGCCTCTCACTTGTGCGTTCCTGGCCTGGCCAGGCAAGAGCCTGGGGCCGGTCCCTGGGAGCCTTCAACCCACTCCCTAGGGCGCCTGCTGCCTCAAGCTATGGTCCCACCCCGTGCACCTCTCCCCGCTTAGTGTCCCAACCCCAGAGGCACACCCAGCAGTGGGATCCCTGCTTGTCCCCCAACCAAGGCTGAGAAGCAGCCCTTGGCTCCCCTTTTCAGAGTTCTGTCTCCCCCAACCTGTCCCCCATCATTCCTCACCCGAAGGGATTTTTCTTTCCTTACACCCAGGTGGTGTTTTTCTCACCTCCTGGGAGAAAGGTGGAGGCACAGCTGAGGGCCACAGAAGCATTTTTCCTAAGCCCAGAGACTCTTCACATCCAAGTGAAAGGACCTGAAGTCACCACTTAAGAGGACAGAGCACCAAGAGCCCAGCCCAGGCCACTGGAAGGGGGCGGTTCCCCAGGGCCATCTTCTATGAGCCCCAATACTAGGCGGGAAAGGCAGAGGAGGCCCTCTCGTTGAGGGGGTGGCAAATACTCTTTTTGTACGACCTGGCTTAGCCGTATAAAACAGTTTTTGTATTTTTAAAGGGTTGTAAAAAAAGTAATAATAAAAAACCCCAAAACCACTAATGAACATGTGGCCTGCAAAGCCTAACATGTTTACTCTCTGACCTCTTACAGAAAGTTTGCCTACAGGCTGCCTGGGTGGCTCAGTGAGTTAAGCCTATGCCTTTAGCTCAGGTCATGATCTCAGGGTTCTAGGATCGAGTCCCACATCAGGTTCTCTGGTAGGCAGGGAGCCTGCTCCCTCCTCTCTCTCTACTTGTCATCTCTGTCAAATAAATAAAATCTTAAAAAAAAAAAAAAAAGTTTGCCCATACCTGCCGGGCTTTTAATGATTTGATGGGGAAACTAAGGCCTGAGGCAGGAGGGCTTGCCTGTGACAGAAAGCAACCCATCCCGGAGAAAGACCATGAAGGGGAGCTTGGGAAAAGGGCCCAGGGGGTGCGGGGGGGTGCGGGGGGGGGGGGGGGAAGACTGAGGATATCTAGATGAAACTCTCAGCTGCCTCCTAGCAGTGAATGGGGCCAGGACCCTATACTCACGGGCATAGTGCTCCCCTGCCGCTGGGACCAGGCCATGTTTCTTTCCTGCTGTGTAGATGTCTTCGCCCTTCAGGGTCACTGCATCGATTTGCCCATTCTGAAGGGGGACAAGAAAGAGCGACTGGGCAGGGGAAGTGTCGGGACCTGACAGAGGTGCTAGGGTTGGGTATCTCGGGCTCTCTCCCCTGGGGACCCCTTCCCCCTCCTTGTGGGATGTGTGGGCCAGAGAGGGGTTTGGAAGACCAGAGACGGGAAAAGTAGCTGGCACTAGCACTTCATCCCTGGGGGGCTGCTGCTCCTATTGTCAGAACTGTGCACTATCCCTTCCCTCCCCAGAGACTGCAGCCCACAGACACCTGGGGTGCCATGCTGTATCCCCCCACCCCCGGCCAAGGGCTGGCCCACCACACAAGCCAGTACATATTTGCTGAATGCCGATGCGAGTACGTGAAGGAGCCAGGCCTCAATAGACAGCAGTTTCGCGGTTAAAGCTCTGCTCCAGGGAGCAGGAAGGGCCAAGGGCTCTCTCCTCTCCACCTGCCTGAAGCCCCCTGGTCTCCCCCGTCCACCCTTTCTCGCCCATTCTGAAGCCTCTGGACAGGTTGCCCCTCCAGGTTAATAAATGAGATACAGTAGTGCGACAAACCCCAAGGGAAAAAAGGGGTGGGGCAGGGGGAGAGAGGGGACACCTGCTTCCCAGGAAGGTGCCCCAGGCCATTCGGGCCCAGAAGCATGAAGCTGTGATGCTGGAGTTAACAGGCAGTGGCCTTAATTTCTGAGCCCAGAGAGTCCACCTCTGGGGGCCCTCTCTTCCCCCAACCCAGGACTCCATGCCACTGTGGGGTCAGGGTGGAACCCAGTAAGGCTGACAGCCCTCTTCTGCGGACCACTGTGGCTTGGAAGCACATGGGAGTCAGAGGTCCACTGGACACCACCCCGAGAGCCTGAGAACGAAGCATCTCTGAGTCTCTTGCCGGAGTTCTCAAGGAACCACCCAGTCTGCTCCTTTTCTGATTGGACAGTCCCTTGGCCCTGTTTGAGTTTAGACAGAGAAAAGGCTCTTGCCCATAGGGAGCTGAACCCTCCCTCCTGCATCTCTCCCTGTTTTCTAGCCCATGGACCCAACCCCCGCACCACCCCCCAACAGGACAGCCTGCCCTCCCCCTCCAGTCTCCCCTTCCTCCATTCCAGCTGAGCACCCCTCCCTCAGCACTACCTGTGGTCAGGGTCAGGCCAGCCTCCTTGGGCCCCTGGGGCAAGGGGCTCCCCACCCTGAGCTGGGGGACTGTGAGCAGGTGGCTTCTCCAACCTCTGCCAGCTTCAGGTTCCTGGCAGTGGTCACACCCACCCCGTGCTGCTGTGAGGGTTAAGGGAAGGGGTCCACGGGATGTCTTGGCACAGTGTGCGGCACATGGCACTCGCATGCTTGTGAGGCCGTCCTCTATCGTGATCCTGGCCTCCTGTTATTTCTGCCCACTCTTCTCTTCTTGGTCTCTAAGTCAATGGGGGACAGTGTGGACACTCCCGAGGGGCAGTGGTCTACCTGCGCTCAGGGACTGCCCCGAGAAGGGCTCCTCATCGTAACCCCATAGGCTCCACATACTCGCTCATAAAAAAGAGGAGGGAGGGGGCTCCTGGGTGATACAGTCTGTTCAGTGTCCCACTCTTGGTTTTGACTCAAGTCATGATCTCAAGATCCTGAGATCTAGCCCCATGTTGGGCTTAGCACAAAGTCTGCTTGAGACATTCCCCCTCTCCCTCTGCCCCTCCTCCTGCTCATTTGCTCTCTAAAAATAAGTAAATAAAATCATAAAAAATCGAAAGAGAAGGGAGGAGTACAGGAACCAGGGGGCTGCTGGGACACCTTTGACCACTGTAGCCACCTTGCCTTCAGGGCCCCAGGGTCCCCTCCACGCTCTGGCCTCAGTTTCCTGTCAGAGAAGCACAGCAGGGCAGGGCCCTTACCTGCAGCTGCCGAGGCGATCAGTGGGTGCCAAAGGCCATGTAATGGGCCATGACAAGCTTAGAAACAAGGACTAGGATGGAGTACGATGGAAACTACCAGAGTCCATTGTACTTAGGGAGGGTCGGTAGTGTTTCGTTTCATGCCTCTCTACTGAAGGCCACAGGACAAGCAGTGTCTCTCTGGGCCCCTCTCCAATGTTCCTTCTGCTCTCAGCTCACCCATTCAGGGAGGAAAGGTTCCCGAGTTCCCTGAAAGTAAACAGCCCCCCACCCCCACCCTCCTCCCTTGAGGTGGGGTGGCTGGTCCCTGCCAGTCCTTCCTCCTCCCTTTTCTGAGGTTGGCACAGGAAACTGCCTATGCTTCAGACCGGGTGGCACAGGGCAAGGGCAAGGACATCCTGGGCACAGCCATCGCCTGCCCCCCCAGCCCACTCTGTGCCCCTGGGCATGGCCCCCACCTGGATCCATTCCATGCAGTGCTGGGGAGACTCGGCCGACACACACTGGATCTCTGGCTTGAGCCTCTGCCGGCTGAAGGCCACAGCCATGTCTCCACACTTCTGGATCTCGGGAGTGGACAGCACACACCAGCGCAGATAGTGAGGCAGCCCTGTGTGTGAGAGAGAGCTTGTGGTCACCACCACACTCACCTGCTTCAGGGGCTGGTCCCGAGCATGGCCTGCGGGGTGGAGTCATGGGGGCTTATACCTCAGTAGGGAGAGCTTGGAGTCAGGCCCAAGGGAAACTCTGGTTCTTTCCCTCATTAGCTATGAAAAGGAAGTCATTTTACCCTCTGATTCTGTTTCCTCTCAAAGAAAGGGGATAACTGTGCCTCTTTCACTGGGCTGTGAGAAAGCCTGAGGGGATATCATGGCTGTCGTGTGTCTGAGTAGCACGCCGTCTCCCTGGCTATAGGCGGCAGAAGGCAAAAAGCCCACAGTAGACCAACAATGGTCCAGTCAACAGACAACACCCAAGCCAGGGCCTTTGCCATGGGGTGGGTAGGAGGAGGCGTGAGGCACTGAGGAGAGAGCATGCTGGGACTTGATGACTTCCGTGTGGATAGGCAGGGAGATGCTTCCAAGACACGGCCTGATGGTCTGGATCCTACCCCTTGGAGCTGATGGGGCATCCGGGATACAGCAGGCCGTCCATCTCTGGAGAAGCTTCCTTTCCAAACCCCTAGAGGCAGGGAGGTAGAGGCCAAGGGGCACAGCCTCTGGGGTAAGTGTCCTTTCCCAGCTGCCTCTCCAGAAAGCACTGCATGCCTGTGGTCAGGCTGGGCTGGAGCTTGTGGAACAAGGGACAGGTGGACTTACGGTTGGGGTCACAGAGGAGGCCCTTCATGGCGTGCAGGTACTCGCGGCCCAGCCAGGCCTCATAGGTCTGTGTGGCGATGGGCACCAGCTCGGAGGTGGAGTCTTTGAAGAGCAGGTCCTTCTGGCCGTAGGCCTTGGAGCTGAACATCTGGAAGCTGCTGCTCTCACGGCTGAAGAGACGCTGTGTGTCGGGGACAGGAGAGGGGGCTGGGGAGGTGTGGCCAGTGGGGAGGGCGGCATGTCCCTTCCTCTCAGATCAGCCTGTGGCTCCTCTGGCCAGGCACCCCCACCCACATCCTCTGTGCTTCCCCAGTGCACTCTGCCTTGTCAACACTGAGGGCCCAGGGGTGGAATGGGACTGAGGTATTGGGACGGGGCTGGCCATGGTGGCACAGGTTGGGTGCAAACATACCTAGAGCTGGAGAGCCCAGAGATTGTTGTGCTTGTAAGTATCAACTTAACAGTACTCACATTTAATCAATGGTGTCCTTTGACATTTGTTGGCTTTGTCGTTTTGTTCATGGGCTCATAGACTCTGGATTTACTTCTTAAGAGCCACAAACATGAGCAGCTCTCTTGGAAGGGTTCCCGGGTCCCCGGTCTGCCTCTCTGGCTAGCCCTCCTCGCTCCTGTCTCTGGCTGCCAGCTCACACCCTTGGTCCCTCCTTCACACTAAGGCTGGACACTATAGGGACCTCCCTAGCTGTGGTCTGGCCCAGGGGAGGGTCTCTGAGTCCTGCCCACTCTTAGCCTGGTTGGCCAGCCCAGTGATGGCTCTAGCTGAGCTTCTACCCTGGCAAGAGACAAGGAGGTTCGGTACCATCCGGAAAGCCGTGCAAGGGTGGGGGGTGCCCTGAACTCACCTGGCCTTCATTGAGCAGCCGGAACATGAGGCCCCCATCTGCATCCGCCCGCATCACCACAGCATGAGCAGGCACCCGGGCCAGGTGACATCGCCTCCACTCGGTGACATCAGCCCGGCTGCCATCCCGGCATAGCAGCTCAAAGTCCCGGGACAGCAGTGCCTGGCCCCAGGAGGGAAGAGTTTTCCCTGGGAATATGGGAAGGCTGTGGTGAGCCAACTTCTGCCCTCGGAGGAGTATGGGAAGGGCCTCAGAAAGGCCCAGGAAAGGGTGGGGAGGGCCACAGACTCACGGTGAAAACAAACTCTTCTAGGAGGTGAAGACCCAGAGCTGGGAATGACAAGGAGCTTGGGGACTGCATTCCACAAGACCAGATATCTCAAGAGACTGTCATTGTTGACTTGCATTTCCAAACCCTTACCAGTTTCCATAAAACTTATACTGGCTTAGACATACGTGGCTTAGAGGTATGTGATGGTAATACAGCACGTGTAAACAGGCCTGTTCATTAACATTAAGACTGAGAGACTTGGGAGCTTAGGGAGAGAGAATGTGCCAGGAGGTCCCTGCTGCTCTTGGACACTCAATTAGACTCTACGCAGGTGGCAAGGGCCACGGCAGGAATACAGCCGGACAGAATGGACCAAGAACGGTAGCCCAAGAGAAAAGGGTAGCTCTCTCCAAAACTTTGTCCATGCATTAATCCAGTATTACTCTATTCGTGTTTCAGGATATTTACTCCAAGTCGTTTTTTCTATTTTCTAACCATTTCTAACACAGTTAAGGACTATCCAATAGGCAATCTTGTATCCTGCTACCCCCTTTTTTTTTTTAAGATTTTATTTATTTGACAGACAGAGATCACAAGTAGGCAGAGAGGCAGGCAGAGAGAGGAGGAAGCAGGCTCCCTGCTGAGCAGAAAGCCCAATGTGGGGCTCAATCCCAGGACCCTGAGATCATGACCTGAGCGGAGCAGAGGCTTAACCCACAGCTGCTCCTACTACTTTTTTAAAAGGTTTATTTGAGAGAGAGAGAGGGCAGCGAAGGGCAGAGGGAGAGAATCCCAAGCAGACTCCCTGAGCACGGAAGGCTCTATCTCACGACCCATGAAATCATCTTCTGAGCCAAAATCATGAGTCAGACACACAACTCAATGAGCCACCCAGGCGCCCCACTACTTTTTTTAAAAAGAAATTATTTAAGTAATCTCTACACCCAATGTGAGGCTTGAACTCATGACCCCAGATCAAGAGTTACACACTCCACCAACTGAGCCAGCCAGGAGCCCCTTGCACCCTACTTTTTTTTTCCACTTGTCATTTTAAAGTATTTTCCCCACCTTTTTGGAAATTTTCCATAAAACTCATTTATAATAGAAAGCCAGATTTATTTGAAAGGGTGATTACGGACACCAGATAGGAATATTAAGAAGTCTAATTTTAAAAAACTGTACCTCAACAAATGGTCTTATAGAACAACATTTTTAAGACTTTTAAAATTTTCAAATGAGGACGATAAGCCTCTACTAGGAAATAGAAGGGGTAAAAATAATTCGTGGGGTCATGAAAACTCTTCACTCCCAAACCCCAAAACTGAGAGTTATAGTTTGGAAGCCTCCACGGAGGTCACGTTTAAGATCTGTGTGATGGTTTCGAGCATTCTTAGCAATCACTCTGTGTCATTCTTGCCTCCCTCCCCAGCTCTCTACTTTTCATCTGCTGCAAAGCCTTTGTATGGAGCTCTGGGGATGGTCTGGCCTTCCCCCATGACACAAATGCACCGTTTAGGTATTGCAATCTGCCACTCCTGTTCTTCCAACAGTTGCAATGTCAATTATCTTACCAATCTTTTGCATAAAGATAGTCTTTAAAAAATTATCTCCTTAGACTTCCTTAAATTATCAACATTTTATCCTATTAATTAAAATTCCAAAAGATTTTATCTGTCAGATACAGAGGGAGAGAGCGCGCGCCGCACAAGCTGGGGAAGGAGCAGTGGGGGAGGGAGAAGCAGACTCTCCCCTCTGAGCCAGGAGCCCAACACAGGACTTGATCCCAGGCCCCTGGGATTGAGATCTGGATGCTCAACCAACTAAGCCATCCAGGCACCCCTACCATCAACATTTTGCAAAAGCTGATTTTAGGGGCACCTGGGTGGCTCAGTTGGTTAAGCATCTGACACTCGATTTCAGCTCAGGTCATAGTCTTGGGGGCACGGATCTAGCCCTGCACTGCCTTCTGTACTCAGTGGGAGTCTGCTTGAGATTCTTTCTCTCCCTCTCCCTCTGCCTCCACCGCCCCCCCTTAAAATAAATAATAAATGAATAAATAAATTTAAAAAACAGCAAACTTTAACCCAATACACCCCTATTCTTTCTCCAACTTTGACTTTTTCCCCTGCTTGATCTTGAGGCCCAAGTCCTGGCTGCCCATTTCCTTCATCATCCTGCCCTGGAGATAATCCTATGTGCTTCCTTCTTTTTCAAATCCTTTCTCTCTTTCAAATCTGGTTCATATTGTTTGCCTTCTTGAATGTCAGACCACATGATAGACCTTCTGCTTTTAAAGGTAAAGGTTATGATTAAAAAAAAAAAAGATTATGATTAAAAAAAAAAAGACAATGATCAGACATTATTGAACAGGCAAAACTAGAGAGACAAAAGTGACTGGTGAATGCCAGAAGGGGGCATCAAGGAACTTACAGGGTGGAAGGTTAGTCACAATCACTATTTGCAGTGGTAATTATGCACCTGTGTTTTTGCTGAAACTCAACAGACCTGTAGTTCAAAGAGCGCATTTTGTTGCATGCAAATTGTATCTCAACTTAAATAAATGATCCTTATGCAAATCCAAATTGGGGCATGTTCTATAAAGTAACTAGCCTGATTCTTCAAACATGTCAATGCCACAAAAACAAAGATCGAGAAACTGCTCAGCAGTTACAGGAAACTAAAAAGACCTACAACTAATTACCGTGTGTGATCACAGATTAGGTCCTGGACCTGAAAAAAATTGCTACAAAGGAGAGAATTGGGCTAAGTAGTGAATCGATTATGTGCTATAGAGTAGATAATGGTATTTTTGTCAATGTTACAATTACTGAATTTGGTAACGGTGCTGTGACTAGGTCCACATCTCCTTGTTTTTAAGAGATACACACTAAAATATTAAAGGGCGTGATGCAGGCAATGTATTCTCAAAAAAAGAATACATATGAATATAGAAGAAAATGATAAATCCAACATGGCAAATTCTTAAAGTTGGAATCTGGGTAAAAAAAAATATATGTGGGTGGGAGGTTGCCTGGGTGGCTCAGTTGGTTTAGCATGTCTCTTATTTTGGCTCAGGTCACGATCTCAGGATGGAGAGCAGGCTCTGGGCTTAATGGGGAGTCTGCTTGAGATTCTCTCCCTCTCCCTCTGCTCCTCCCCTACTCTCTCTAAAAATAAATCAATCTTTGGAAAAAATGGGAGTTCTCTGGGGCACCTGGGTGGCTCAGTGGGTTAAGCTGCTGCCTTTGGCTCAGGTCATGATCTCAGGGTCCTGGGATCGAGTCCCGCATCGGGCTCTCTGCTCAGCAGGGAGCCTGCTTCCCTCTCTCTCTCTCTCTCTCTCTCTGCCTGCCTCTCTACTTGTGATCTCTGTCAAATCAATAAATTTAAAAAAAAAGGGAGTTCTCTGAATTATTCTTGCAACTTTTCTAAAGCTCAATTATTGCAAAATTAAAAAAACTAAATGACAATAAATGGATCTACACATAACACTAACCCCCATTTACTACGATCTCCTTACAGGATCAGGAATGGATGGCTTCTCCAGATAACTAGAGGAGGAAGGGTAGATGAGGATTCATGCAGAGACTTGCAAATAATTCTGCACAACTGGGACCCAGTCTTCAAGTGGAAGCCAATGCCAGACACAAACCAGAGCAGGGCAGCCGTGTCCACCAGCCCCCCTCGCCCCACGGAGCCATTTGAACTCCACTCAGAACACCCATCTCTTCCTTCCAGGGACAGCTACAGGGCCCAAGATGCTGCTCCCCGGGGCTGGCCCCTCCCACTCACCATCCGTGTTCTCCAGCACGGTGCTGTGTTTCACGAAGGCCACATCCCCGGCCCCTTCCGCCAGGCACCTGTGGACAGAACTGTGAGCCTGGGCGGGGCTGAGCTCCTCTGCCCTCTGGGAAGCCTGTTCTGGAATGGAGGGGTCTGTCCTGGTGGGCCCATTTGGCGCCCCAGCCAGCTCTCTAGGTGGAAATACTGAGGGCAAGATGCTTAGAGGGGCTCTGCAATCTTCCATTCCAAGCCCTGCTGAACAAGCCCTGTCCTCATCTGTGGACAGAGGCAGCTGTCCCACAGCTGCTGGGGACTCTTCTGGCCCCATGGACAGCTTAGCCAAAGTACCAGCTCTAATCAGGTGCAGAGGGGAGGCCAGCCCCGAGGACCAAGATGTCAGGGTTCCTGCCACATTTTGCCATGCTCCCCACCCTCCCTGCTGGTCTGAGGCACCAGAATGGGGACTTGAAAGTGGCAAAAGGCTGTTTTTGCCATTTTCTTCTAAGTCCTCATCTCTAAAAATACCAAACATGTTGACTTTGTGAGCAAACCCAGCCTGGCATATTCCAGTTGGACGTTTTTAAACTAAGCAGGCACATGAACTATATAAAGGGCGCTTTGAGGAGATGCAGCCAACGGGCCACTCCCCTGGGGCCCTCGCAGTGCCCTGCTGTTTTCCACCCTCCCTGTGGCCTCCAGGGCCCCCACTCTGCTCCTCCCACCCCTGCCCTCTCACCGGAAGGCCCCGCTGTAGTCGTAGTATCTCTCCAGGTGGCTCTTGTCACACACCCCCTCCCCAGCAGCATTGCCCCGGCACAGGCGACAGAGGGACTCTGAGTAGCTCGTCTCTCCAGCCCCCGGCACACAGCTACCCCCAAAATAGTCGCTGACAGCTGTAGGGTGGAGGAGGGAGAGGGAGGCCCGTCAGCCACCCACCAGCCCCCCCCCCCCCAGGAGGGCTCACCCTCCTCAGGCTGCAGCGGGGCTGGGCCCCCCAGGGATGTGCCGGCCCCTCCCAGCTTCAGTCTGAGCAAAAAACGGGGGAATGGGACGGGCCAGTGATTCCCAAACTGGGGCCACAAAAGCAGCAAGGGGCGTTGAAGTGGTGTTATTTTAAAATGGCTCAAGGGAAGGAAACAGTTATCCCCAAACCGCTACATACAACGACTCTTGCATACATACTGTTCCCACTGCAGGTTTCGCTTCCAGTCAGTTATATGTAATTGATGACAGTGGGGGAAAAAAAATTATGACGTAATGCCTACAATTTCATACACAAAGCTTTTCAAAACAGGAGGAGGGCAGGGGTATGGGTAGGAAGGCCTCAATGGGGAAGTGGTCAGATCTGCGTGGTCCCGGGAGCCCTGCCAGCGCTGTGACCCAGCATCCCCGCTGTGCACAACCATTCATCTTGTGCTCGGGTCTCCTCAGTGTCACATAAGGTGAGCAGGACTCTGGTGCACCAGCCCGCTAGATCCAGCTCTGCCCCAGTGGGCTGCCTTTCCTGGTTTTCTTTTGGCATCATCCCAGGGGATTGGAAATTCAATACATGCGCCAACTGACCGCCAGACCACCCGTCCCCGGCCACTGTCTGAGAGGACCGGGCCTCCACGCTCCCGTGGGTCGAGCTGGTTGACGTGGTAGCTGCAGCTGCTGGGGGCAGTGTATGAATGTGTCTACGCACAGTCACGTGCTTTTCGGGCTTGTGCATGCGTGTGCACACAGCGGTTTGTGTGTAGGTGCGTGCACGTGCCCACAACCAACAGCAAGGTGCTCCCAAGGGGCATGAAGTCGAGCTCGTAATAACAGCAGCTCTGTGCAGCGAGGATGTACTCAGGGACACACATCGCATGGAAATGTCCTCTGAGCTCTTGCAGCCTGGCAGCACCACAGCCTGGGGACTCTGCGTTGACCGGTTTGACAGATGGGGCACTGAAGTTCAACAGGGCAGAGTCGTGTACTTGAAGGCGGCCATGCTGGGAAGGGCCGACATGTACCACTCTCCGACAGCGAAGTCTGGGCTCTCCCACGGGCTCTCCCACCAACTCCCAGCCCCTGAATTACTGGTCACTGAGGGGACAAACCAGGAGGCAACACTCATGGACGAACTGTTGGGGGTGTGAGTATGACCCCCCAGAGGGCAGTTCACAAATGTGGCTGTCAGAGGTCAGGGGCCACATCACGTTCTGGAGCACCCTGTGGACAGATTGTCAGAGCAGGGTGGCCAGGAGAAGCCCAAAGCAGAACAAGCAGGAGTTGAGCCCCGGGCCCTGGGCTGACGGCTAGGGACTCCAGCCAGGAACGTGGGGCTTCAGCTCACTCCCCCAGCGTGTGTTATTCTCAACAACCCCTCTCGGATCCCTCTCAACTCTCACCGGAGAACGTTCTAGTGGCAGGACACCCTCTTCTCACTCTAAGTGAATCAACTGGGGAGCCGTAGGTCTCTCCCCAGTTGTGAGCTTTCTGGGTGCAAGCTGGCAGCTTGTTTGGGGTCCTGAAAAAAATTTCTCATCTGTCTGAGGACGTGTTTCTGGAAAAAGAGACCTGCACAGGTCTGCAGCAGGTGAGAGCTGCTCCCTGGGCATCACCCCCTCCCAGCTGTGGGTGGGCCTATGCTTGGCTGTGTCCTAGGGTCCTGAAAGGAGTCAGAGGGAGGGTCATTATCAACTACCCCCAAAGGCTGCTCCACCAGAGCTTTAATGTGACCGCCCCAGGCTGGCCAGCACTAACAAGGAAGGGGTGACACCACCACCTGGGGGTCAGGGAGGCCCTGGAGGAGGTGCGATGGTGCTGCTCCTTAATTATGGGAGGCTCAAGGGGAGCCCAAGGGAGGTCACCCGTCAGGGGAAGTCAGGGCAGTGGCCAGGAAGGAGACCCAGCGCCCCTGCAGGGGAAGCTCCTGTGGGGCCCCAAGCCCTTACCCTTGAGCACGTCGCAACCCATGACAGACAGGCGGCCGCTCTCCACCAGGTAGCCCACCGGCACGTTCCAGCCCACCGTCCTGTTGATGCCCGTGTGACAGGACTTCACACCTCTCAAGGTGTTGATGGTCACCTGGGAGCCCCTCTTGACCACAGCAACAGCGTAGTAAGAGGTGCCGACCTCTAGAAGGAGGGATAGGAGAGGAGTGAGGGTGGCAGGGGAGAAGCCATGAGGGGGGCTGAACGCAGGTGCGAAGGCTGTGGGAGACAGGTGTGTATGCGTGCACATGTGTGTGCACAGCTACCTGGGCACGTGTGCACATGCATCCAAGTGTGCAGGGATGTACACAAGCACGTGTACACGTTCTTCCCGGCTGCTGGGAGCACAAGTGGGTACAATCCACGTTTCAGCATGAGACCCCAGTCCCCTCCTGTCTGACGTGGTGGACACCATCCCCAGAGGCTCATTCCTCTCCTTTCCTTCCCGTCAGCGGGCACTTGGCTAAGTCTACATCTGTCAGTGGGGCTCTGTAGCCACACAGAAAGCAGAAGCAGCCTGCAAGTCTTGTGTTCTCCCAAGTCCAGGCCCCCTGGGGGAATGCAGAGGGATGGAGGGGGTGCTATCTGGTTATGGGGAGAAAGTGGTGGGAGGAGCATGTGGGGCAGGCAGGATCTTCACCTCATTAGGTGCTGAGAATGTAGGGAGGAGGAGGGAGGGGGAAAGGGCAGGGAGAGGAGGAAAGAGAATGTATTAAACTATCAATATTCCAATCACTCAGAACCGTGAATGGGATGTATGTGGGTGGGTGGCCCTGCAAAAGATTCCCCTGGGCCAAATGTGACCCACAATGGGCCATTCAGGCAAGACAGGGATGACTCATCCACGGGGACTGATGACCAGAGGCATCACATCCTCCCTCACCACAGTCACCCCGCCCCCCGCCACTACCCTGTAGTGGTGGGATGGCCACAGTCAGAATGAAGTGGACTTCTAGAAAACAAAGCCAGTGCTATTTCTTGCACAGCTGAGCTAACCCCCCGCCAACCTAAGGAGCCTGGCCTGTCCCCACAATCTGATGGACCCACCATGCCCTTTCTTTCTGATTCCTGGAACATACCAAATTCTGTCCTGCCTGGGACCCTCATCAGGGTTCAGCTGCAAGGTCACTTCAGAGAAGTGAGGTGCCTTCTTGTCTGCTCTCTTTCAGTAGGTTTCCCCACATTCCTTCCTTTCTTCCTGTGGCCTTTACTTCCTCCACAGCACCTCCCACACTGGTAACTACGCTTCTTTGTATTTATTTGTTCACTACCTGACTCCTGCTCTCTGAGGGCAGGAACTGGCTCTCTTTTGCTTAGGACTCTGTACTCATAACTGGCATGCAGCAGGGGCTCAAAAGTGTGCTTAATTAAAGAGGGCCACTGAGGCAGGGCAGTTCCTGGCCTCTGAGTGAAAAGGCTGGCTGGGTTAGACGGTGTCCTGTGTGATCTGATGGTCATCAGTTCACCAAGCAGCCCAGTGAGGCCCTGTGCCGGGTACCGGGTACCAGGTACCAGGTACCAGCAGCTTTACAGAGAGGAGCACCAGGCCCTTCCTCAAGGGACTCACTGCAGTGGGGACAAAGACAAAAAAGCAGGAGAGGACAGATCTTAACAGTGTTGAGTCAGAGCTCCGGGAAAGCAGGAAAGAGAAGCCCTTTCGGCGGAGCTCTCAGGGGTGACAGCAAGCTGGGCTGTGACAGGGGCTAGTCCTCTGGACAACAGAGGTGGGGGGCGGAGCTCTAAAGGGCAGGCTAAATTAGAGGCATGTGTTTGGTGAGGTGCAGGAACTAGGGGAAAGGAACTCCTACTTCTAAGCACACACCACAGGTCAGGTGTGCCCATGCTGACTCATCTGGTCTGTGTGACAGGAAAGTGTCACTGTCCCCATTTTCCAGTCAGGGAAGGAAGGCTGTTCAAAGTCACAGAGGCTCACAGGAATGGGTAGAACTGGGATGCGTTCTTCCTTTGTTGGGCTCTCAGGTCCTCATCAACTCCTCTGCCCTATTCCTCCTCCACGTTGCTTCTGACAGGGCTCCTGAACTTCGGCCCAACTCTGGCAGACATGGGGCAGCCCCTCAGTGAGAGCTTGTGGGTGCAAGTTACAGGGGTGATGGGCTCCCCACAGGAAGAACGGACTCTGGTCAGCCCTCTGTCTCTGGCAACCCTGCTCTGAGGGGGGTATCAAGAGAGACTTAGCAGCAGGGGTATCTGTAGGTTTGTCTGGCCTGGATCCCAGGACTGTTCTGGGGACAGGGCTCCTGAACAGCTTGAGGGCTGTCGGGTTAGGCCAGGCTCAACAAGGACACACTGCAGAGAGACAGCCTCTTCTCCTCCCCCCCCCGCCCCGCCCTCTGACCTTGATCATATACTTCGCCCACCACGGGCTTCAGGCCGTGCTCCTTCCCTGCCGCATAAATGGCTCCTCCATCCAAGGTGATGGCGTCAGCCTCCCGGGTCTGCTGGGAACATGCGGGTCAGTGCAGGCTGGCCACCCTGGCCCATTCAGCCAGGAGCTCAGGGGCATCCATTAGTCTGCCCAGGGCCCCCTGCAAAGCCACAGAGATCCACGCTGGTCCTGTCCGTCTGGCCCAGGAACCCTGCCCTGGCTTGGCCTTGTACCACCAGGGCCTAGAAGGCTTACCCTTTGGGGTCCTAGGTGACAGCTCTCCTGGGCTGAGGGCTTGCCTTGTTTTTCTAATTATGTTATTTAAAAATGAGTAATTTTCTAGGGCTTCTAATGGCTTTCCATAGTTAAAAAAAAAAAAGGCCATTCAAAATGGCACATAGTAAAAAGGGAATCTCCCTCTTTTGCCTATTTCTCAGAGCCGACTCCACTGTTAACCTGTTTCTCAGGTTTTCCAGGATGCAGACTGAGACCCATAAATGCCCTCTTCATTTTTTTCCCTTTTCATTTCAGACACAAATGGCAGTATGCTCTTGGTGTCCTGAGGTGCGTGATAAAATTCTAGTTCAGTGTAATTGCTTTCCTCACCATGGAGCCTACCTAAGCCCACAGCCCGTGTGTGACTTGGATGAGGTCTGGGGAGAAATCAAGGGCCGAGCTGAAGTGAAAACCCAGGTCCCCAGGCTTCCGTCCATACCCCGTCTTGCCACCAAAGTCCGAGCTCTGAGTAGCATTAGGGCTAGCTGAGCAGATCTGCGGCCTAGCACTTCTTTGCAACCCCCCTTCACTCACCCAGGCTGGGGGGGCCCCATTCCTCCTTCCTGAGAAACTGCATAAGCCCCATTCTGGAAATCCACCCCCGAGAGGTCTTTTGTCTGGGCTCCCCTTGGTGGGGTGGGTAGTGTCCCCACTCTAGCAGGGGCCTGGTGGAAGGGAAACTCTGCCTCTTCGATACCTTTCCCTGCTGGGGCCCATCTGAGCCAGGGCCCTCCTTCCTGTGGCCTCCCAGTGCCTGGGCTGGGTGCTGGCAGGAAACAAGCCAGCCCTTGTTGCCTGGGGAACTCCAGAGAGCCTCAGCCTGGCCCTGGCAGGGGAAGTCAGCACCCTTCTCTGTGAATGATGCTGTTGTGTGCTCCCTCCTGAGTCAGAGACCTCCTGTCTGGCGGAGTGAGGGGCTGGGACTCACCGCAATGAGCTGGATGCAGTGGTCCACTGAGGTGCCCTGGGTACACACAACGGGTGGCTGGATCCCGGCCTCTTGGAAGGCTTTGCTCATGTCACTGCATTTCTGCTGCTCTGGGTCTGAGGTGGTGCACCACCGCACTTCCATCCCGCTGAGCGCTGGGGGCACGGACCCATGAGGCCCAGAGGCCCAGTGCCCCTAGCATCCCCAGCCCCTGCCCCAGACCCCCCAGAAGCTATGTGACCCCCCTGAGCACGCATAGCCAGTCCCGCGCAATAGGCCTGCCCTCCCACTGGGAGATCTGAGGCAAAAAGAGGTGTCACAGACTACAGAGGTCTGTGCATGTAGGGACATGCATCCCTGCACTTGGGGCATATGGGGTGGCTCAGGACCCGGAACTTTACAGAGGCCAAGGGAGGGGTGGGGGGGGGGTGCGTCTCCTAGGGTAGCACTCAGCTAGTCCCAAGCCTGCTCACTGGCCTGGAGGGCAGCCTGCAGGGTGGAAAGAGGCTGAGGAGTCTTGTCTGGTTCCGTGACCAGGCAAGTTCCTGCTCCTGTTCTGTCCCCTTTGGGCCTCTGTGTCCTCCAACCAGAGGGCAGTAGGGTCTCTGACTCAGTGTTCCTCAGCCCTCCTCACCAACTGGGAATTGAGACTGGGAGGTGGTGGCGGTGGCCCTCAAGGAGCCTAGCGGCCTCCTGGAGCGTGTGATTACAAACCCTAGCCTCAGGCTCCCCTACCCCTGCCTAGGGGAAGCTGAGAAATCAGCAGGTTGAGCTCAAGTTTCTGCTCCTGGAGAAGGAGCTGGTGACTTTGGGCAACTTATTTGAGCTCTCTGAACTTGCTTTGTCATCTGAGAGCACGGATGAGAAAATCCATCTTCCGTGCTGAAGAAAACCTACGTAGAAAGCCAGGAGGCATAGGTCCTCAGTGGCCTTTTGCTTAGATCCCTCCTCCCAGTGGGGACCCTATGGGTCCTGGCATCTGACCAGGTCAGAGTCCCAGAGAGCTCCCAGCCTGGGGGCCCGGCAAAAGTGGCGCCAGATTTCCTTGGGGTGGATGCCTTTGCAGACCCAAGCTCCTCCATCCACTACTCATGTGGCCCAGCTTTGGGTCCAGTTCCGGGCCCCCAGGGACCAGGCCATCCTCTTGTGGCAGCCTGTCCTTCCCAACCCCACCCCAGGGGTCAAGACTGCAAGTTCTCCCACAGCCTACCTTTTGTGACTGAACTCCCCACAGCACCCTGTAATGTGAAATGGCCTCCCCCTCTCCAGAGCCCCAGGACTGCCCCTTGGTAGGCTGGGCGGGCAACTGCAGAATTGGGACCGCGGTTGCGGGTCCAGGGTATTCGTGAGGTCAGAGCGGTGAGGCCGTCGGTGTCCGGCGACCCTGCCAGCAGCTCCCCGAGGCCCAACCTCACCCCTCACTGCGCTGGGCCCTGCCTGCCTTGGGAGGGGGCGGTGCAGACACGAGGAGAAGACCCAGCAGCACCTTCCTCCTCCTTGCACCTTGCAGGGCGCCCTGAGGCTGGCTCCCGGTTGCATCTTCCGCCCCTCCCTTCCAGTCCCTTAGAATCTTCTCTGACGGGAGAAGCAAAGGGGCTCTGGCCCCCAAGCCCTCCTGGAGCGTCCACGCCTATCAAAAGCGTCCATCCTCCCAGCTCTCCTCCTGACCCTCTAAGGCTCTCCCCCCTCCACCCCTCCGACTGCTCCACTCTTTGGCCAGTCAGAAGGCCCGCTTTGTCAAGACCCATGTCAATGCCGTTTCCTCTAAGACGTCCCAGGCAGCTGAGGTCAGAGTTAGTTCCCTCGGCCGCCTTCAGCTGTGGTTGGCGCCGTTCTACGCCTCCCCCCTTTCCGGGGCGATACGGATTCAGGACACACTTCCTCTCCTGCTCCCAAGGCCAGGCGGCCGGACCTCACCTGTGCGCAGAGCGAGGAAGAGCCACAGGACCACGCTTCGGCCCCGCATGGCGCGGTAGTGAGCTAGCTGGGGCCGAGGTGCCTGCAGGCGGGTCTACCTCTAGGTCTGCCCGGGGCCGCAGCAGTCGGGGCTTTCCCCCTCCCTCCTCCTTAGCGCGGGCCTGCCCCTACTTAAGCGCGGCCGGGGCGTGCCTTGGCGGGGTCCACGCCCCTGGGGCACATCCGCCCACCCCAGGCGGGACACCTGGGAGGACCACGCGGGTCTTGGCCCTCTCTCTGGCGCCCCCTGCTGGAATCTCTGCCGCCCTTAGTGACCGAGTCTAGCCGCTGGCACTCGGGGTCCCTGGTGCTCCTCTGTCCCTGAATGTCAGGTGCCTGTTGTCTGGGGGTCTGATTACCCCAGTTCACAGGCTGTTCTAGAGTGCTCTCCCCTCAACCATCCGCCCCTCCCCTTGTTCTAGAAGGATCCTTAATATCATGTGCAACTGAAGAGGGAGAAGCTCAGATTTGGAAGGAAGAAGTCGATTCCCAGAGCCTGAACTGCAAGCTGAAAGACCAGAACATTCATTCACCAGCCTCTCTGCAAGTACATATCGCACAGTGTCTGGTGATACAGGAATGAGCCCGGGTAGATGTCTTCTGGGGAGGGGCTGGCAGGGTGGGGGTGGGGCTGTCTCTCCTTGGGCCTACGCTAGGGAAGTGACTTCACCCTACGGTCACACATTTAGTAAGTGACAGAGCTGGAACTAGAACCCGCAGCCCTGGCAGCTTGGCTCATCCCATCATGTTTGAAAGATGGGAAGAAGACCAAAAAAAAAGGGGGGGGGGTTGGAGGAAGAAGCAGAAAAGGACAGAGAGGGACATGAAAGGAGAAAGAGAATGAAGATGAGGGAGGAAAGGCTGAGTTGTCTATTTTTCTAGGCCTCGGGGTCTCAAAGTGTGCCCTAGACCCCACAGCATGGGCACACCACCCCCGCCCCTCCAGGAACATGTTAGATATGCACATTCTCAGTCCCATCTCTGATCTGCTAAATCAAAGCTCTGGGGGTAGGGCCAGCAATATATGCTTCTGCTTCCTGTGCACAGCACAGTCTGAGAAACACTGTTCTAGGTAGACCAGAAGTGGGGAGTGGGCTGTCGAAATTCTGACTCACTTCTCTGCTTCCATTTGTGTCCTTATGTTTTGTCATTGTCCTCTTGTAAGTACCCAGGAATGAGAGCCTCCCTGTCTTGGATAGAGGACACATGTAGTAAAAACACTGAGTATGAGAGAAATATCCGGGCGTCTGAGTCCTCGAGCCTAGTCTGCTCCGTGGGGAAGGGAGCTGCTGCTTCTCACACCCTGAGATGATCCATGGCAGTTCCATGGGCTGGACTTCAGGAGACCTGACCAATGTTCTTCCGTGATCACTGGCTCACCATGTGGCCCTGGGCGGGTTCATTCTCCTCTCTCTGGGTTTCAGTTTCTCCATATGGAAAAGGTAGGTCATGATGGCTCTGGTGTGCCATTCTTCCTCCCCCAAAAGATGTCTGCTCTGGACAATCGGATGGGGACATGTACGGGAAGCTGTTTTTCCGTTCTGAGCTGGATCCATCAGGAGGCCCCTCTCTCTGATTCACACAAACAGACTAGTAGGTGGCCCTGGCAGAGGGGCTATGGCCTGTCCTGAGAGGATGAAATAAATAGAAGCATCCTTAGTAAGTTTCACCCTCCTGGCCACGAGGATGAAAAGGATCATTTTGTTATAGTCCAGGAGCAACCAGAAGGTACTGGCAAGTACCTTTGTGTTCATGAAGATATTCCTCTAGCAAAACTCCAGGTGACACTGATAAGGTGTCAGACAGCTAAAACCTAAGAGCTTGGGTGAGCAATCTTGCAATGAGGTCCTTTCCCTATCTCTGGAGAGTCATTCCCCAACTGTGACTCACCAGTGAACTTGCTGTCTCTGGGCTCTAGAGGCTTCTATGTCTGACTCATTTGCTTGGTTGTAGCATGGACATAGCTTCGGCCATGGAAATTACACACATAGATATCTATATGTAATGGGGAACTCTTGATTTGGCTTGAGCCTGGATCCTGCTATTTCTGAGGCAAGGACATCCCTGGGTGTATCAGAGGAATGGGTGGGATGCAGTGGGAGAATAATGAACCAGTGATTTAACCTAGAAACAGCTGTTTGGAGGAGCAGAAGCATTGAGCATAGTTTGGGCCCTATTCTGGACTCATACTGAGGAGAGGAAGAGTGCCTTTGAGCTTCCTTCTAGAAACAAGAACTAGTTTCACTAAGACTTCTATAACAGAGTTGTCTGTTTTGGGACTACCTCTCTCTCCCTGACTCTACTCCATAACATGAAATACAAAGAACTCTACTACATTCTGCCAAAGACACAGATCTGGGTCTGTATTCAGGGTGTCCCCACCCCCACATGGAGCTTGCTTGCCAGGGAACTGAGATACAGTAGCAGAGGCTATGGGATGGAACACAGTAAAGATAGTCTCTGGGGACTCAGAAAGAAGGGGCCTTTGATGACAGGAGGTGGAGAACCTGTGTTGACAGTTGTGGGCTAAAGAACCAGCAAAATATGGATGCACAGTTCTTTTACCCAGAATCTTAGGAAAATTCATATTTTTTCATCTCAATAAACCATGGTTTATATTTTTCTATTTCTATGAGCTGTGATGTCTTTGACTAATTAAGAATAAGCCGAGACTATTTTTATTTGTAGAACCCTTGAATGGACTGGTATGCCCAGAGAATATTAGCAGTGGTGAACATTTCGGCAGAAAATGTGTTATCAGAGGGTATTATGTTCTTACTCCTGACATTGTCCACCGTGACATTGTCCACCGTGGACGTGCTGACTGGCTAATACATCTGAATTTGTTTCTTGAGATCAATGGTAGATATGTTGAGCAAGTTTTGTGAATACGAGCTTTTGCCTCTTAAAAATGTGTTTTCCCCAGGAAGCTTCACTTAGGGGAGCCCTGGTCACTTGGGCTACCTGAGGCTCTGTGTATAAGCTTTTCATAGGCAGATTCTGTGCTTATTCTTCTCTGTACTAAATACAGGGTCTTGAGTATGGAGGATGATTTCTATTAAGTTTTAGGATGTTACTAATTACTGTTCAGGTGTTTCATGCTGCTAAGGAGGAAGGACTGAGAAGAGCCACAGAATTTGGGGAGTAGGAGGTCCACTCCCTGCTCCACTGAAGCAGGTTCAGTGGGATGGCAAGGGCTGAGGCTTGGCCAGGAGGCTGAGCTTCATGAGAGCAGAGTAGTGGCTTGTCTGCCATCATTCCCAATGTCTAGCTTCATGTCTAAAATACAGTAGGCATTCAACAAATTATTATTATTATAAATCAATGGAAAGTGGACAGAGTGTCTCTTTAAAGATATTTGGCTTAAGAAAGGCAGAGGAGAGAGATTGCTTCAAGGGGATTAGGAGTCAATGGAAAGTTTTTATAGGATAGGAGAGGTTTTTTTTTTTTTACGATTTTATTTATTTGACAGAGAGAGATCACAAGTAGGCAGAGAGGGAAGCAGGCTCCCCGCTGAGCAGAGAGCCCGATATGGGGCTCGATCCCAGGACCTTGAGATCAGGACCTGAGCTGAAGGCAGAGGTTTAACCCACTGAGCCACCGAGGCACCCCAGGATAGGAGAGATTTGATCATATAATCAGAGCACAAGTAACCCATGCAGGAAGGAGACTAAAGATACAGGAAAAGGCGCGGGGGTGGGGGGTGGGGCAGTAATTGAAGAGGATGTAAGAAATAAGATCAGGACAAGCGGAGAGGGTAATCTTAAAGGAAAAGGGACGATGCTTCCTCCTTGGAAATGGGAAAGAAGAGGGGTGGAAAAAGCTCTGAGTCAAACCTGCATTCAAATGTAAGTCCAGCATCCCAGAGCTTGGCTTATTATTTTAATATCAAACAAATAAGTATTTTTTTCTCCTGAAAACTTTCCTTGCAACCCAGAGTTTAAAATGTAAAGGAGGATTAGCAGGCTCCGAGATCAGCCCTGGAGATAGAGTTTTTAAGCCTTTAATAAATCTCCATCTGTTTCACTTAATATAAGATTTAATGAGTAGAAACCAGTATAAAAGAAGCTAAAGAATAAAGAAATAAAATCGAGAATACTATATTTGGCTCTGTCACTAAGACTTACAGAGGAGTTATTCCTACCCCAGCTACTTCCAAGGAGGGTTTCAGATGACTTATCATGAAAACATATTCACAAGGAAGATAAAATTGACAGAAAGAGAAAAATCACAAAGCATGTTCAGAACGAAGACTACTATACCAGGGACCAGAAAGGACTATAATTAAATAAAAAACTTTGGCTGATTTAGAGATCTGTAGTCAGACTGTTTTACCCACTCCCATCCACTCTTCCCTCCCAACTCTGACCGATTTGCAAATGAAGTGGCCACTAACACTTACACGGTGATCTTTTCAGGTCATGAGAAGCCAAGGCAGTGAAGACTGTCTTGCTGCACGAGAGGCCCGCAAGCTGTGCATTCTGGTCTCCTGCCATAGGTACCAAACTGGGGCAGACGAACACAAGGAGAAGGCCACCCAATCTGAGACAGACCAAACACCTAAAGAGGTAGAAGCAGCACAGGGAGAACATCCTCGGTGTTCGGTGGACCCCCAGTATATACACACTGCAGGTGTTTAGGTTCCAGGGCTGTAACAGGGAGTCTTCTGCAGGAGGAGGGATTTAGGCTGGGCCTTGAAGAAAGGCAGGGCTTTGCATGACCAACAGCCACAGACAAGAACTGCTGAGATACCGCTGGAGAGGTAGGTGGTGGGACATGACTGATGGACCTCATACTATGTTCCAAAACTCTATTAGACAGGTAAGTTAATTGGTTTGGATTTGGGACCTGTGAAGGTCACTGAGGAAAAACACAATCCAAGCTGCATTTTAGAAGTCATCTGGTGATGGCTGGGTCAGCAAGGGAGCAAATTAAGAGACTGAGAGATGAATTAAGAGGCCACCTCAGGAATCAGCGCTTGGGGTTGTGGGTGGGTTCGGGATTAGAGTG